CGAGCGATACACCCGGCCAGCTATAACGTCGGAAAGATCAGCGAGAGGGGTTAAATGAATCGACGACAACGAAAACGGTTGTAGCGTGATACAAGGACGTTCCGCCGGAGAGGAATCTGTATCGCAGCTTTAAATGTCCTGGCAGGCCATCGTGCGGAGACCGCCTGGAGTCGTAAAAGTGAACGTCGCTTTCTAGCAAAGTCGAGAGCTATTTAACGCGCACCTAACGCCCCACTCGTCGTATCGTAATATTATTAACAAACGTAAAAGATCGTGTTTTGTCCGACTTGATTCTCTTATCGTTGATATTTTAGTCTTTACATCGTCTGTCGACACTAATTTTGCACGATAATATGAGAGTCTTTAAATGTTAGGATGCCGTTTCTATATGTTCGTGTGTAAAATATTATGCACCGCGGAACTGTATATGCTGTGTGAAGTATTTTGTATCGGGGAATGTTATGAATTTTATATGTGAAAAATTTGGAACTGCGGAATTTTGTATGTGAACTATTTTGAACTGTTGAAATTTGTACGTGAACAATTTAGAACTGTGGAATTTTATATGCAAACAATTTGGAACTTTATATGAGAATAATTTGGAGCTGTGGAGTTTTATATGTAAACAATTATGAACTAGGGAATTTTATATGTGAATAAATTTGAACTGTTGAATTTTATATGAGAATAATTTGGAACTGTGGAATTTTGTATGTGAACAATTCTGAACTGTTGAATTTTATATGAGAATAATTTGGAACTGTGGAGTTTTATATGTGAACAATCATGAACTAGGGAATTTTATATGTGAATAAATTTGAACTGTTGAATTTTATATGAGAATAATTTGGAACTGTGGAGTTTTATATGTGAACAATTATGAACTAGGGAATTTTATATGTGAATAAATTTGAACTGTTGAATTTTATATGAGAATAATTTGGAACTGTGGAGTTTTATATGTGAACAATTATGAACTAGGGAATTTTATATGTAAATAAATTTGAACTGTTGAATTTTATATGAGAATAATTTGGAACTGTGCAGTTTTATATGTGAACAATTATGAACTAGGGAATTTTATATGTAAATAAATTTGAACTGTTGAATTTTATATGAGAATAATTTGGAACTGTGCAGTTTTATATGTGAACAATTATGAACTAGGGAATTTTATATGTAAATAAATTTGAACTGTTGAATTTTATATGAGAATAATTTGGAACTGTGCAGTTTTATATGTGAACAATTATGAACTAGGGAATTTTATATGTAAATAAATTTGAACTGTTGAATTTTATATGAGAATAATTTGGAACTGTGCAGTTTTATATGTGAACAATTATGAACTAGGGAATTTTATATGTAAATAAATTTGAACTGTTGAATTTTATATGAGAATAATTTGGAACTGTGGAGTTTTATATGTGAAAAATTATGAACTGGGGAATTTTCTGTGTGAACAAATTTGACCTTTTGAATTTTATATGCGAACAATTAGAAACTGTGGAATTTTCTATGTGAAAAATTTGGAACTGTGGTATTTTATATTTTATTTATATTTTATTTATATTATATTTTATATTTTATTCTATTTATTTTAAATTTTATTTATATTATATTTTATATTTTATTTTATATTTATTTTACATTTTAGCTTTTTCTAATTTAATACGTTGCGCAGACAATTTTCAACTGAGCAATCTTATACACTGTGTGAAAATGTTTAGACAGCGGACAGCATGATAATAAAAATATGTCGTCACAGAATAATATACAACACAGAAGTGAGCAATATTCGCATTTCGTTTCATTTAGCGACGCGAATCTTTTCCTCGAATCACGAATGACATTCTGTCGGATCCAATATCTCTCGCGTTTGTTGCAAGGAATTCGCAAAAGTTTCGAAGCGTCGTGCTCGCAGGAAATTGCCGCGGAAGTTATCAGTGGCGGGGAAGCTGTAAAATTTTTTTGCAATATGAAGCACGGAAGCGGAAGCGCGGGCGAAGGTGTGAATTACCGTATTCGTTGAGACGCTCGTCGAGAGTATACGTGAATTGGGTAGAATGCGAAAGTGGATGGAGATTAATTCTGGCGCTAATTTAGCGGCGGCTGGTAAGCATTCTGGCTGAAGCATTCCCGTGGGCCACTGGATACGAAGCAGCTTAACTCTCAACCGCAAATGAAACTCATGCTACTCGGTTCCATCCACCTCTTATTATGACTGTTCTTACTTCGAATGCTGTTTGCAAAAATTAACCACGACGGCTTGCGTGTACAAACGTTTGTTCCCCATCTTTTATTTTTTCCCCTTCGAAGAAGATGCTTGAAGTGATCATTTCAGTGTTGGGAAACTGAGATGGATAGCAATTGCGAAGATTGTCGTTGTTCTATTTTATTACCCGAACTAGGTGTCGAGCAACAGATGGTCAAAGTAGATTAATTTTGATCACAATTAGCAGTCGATTCGGTGTGGAGACCGTAAATGATCGTACGAAATTTTCGAGATTAAATTCATCTGAAATGCAGCTGTTTTTTTTTAATAATAGCTGATCTATTATCTGAACTTTTTATTATTTGAACTCTTATTTGTACACTAGAGCACCCAACGTAAATTTTTGTCACCAAGAAATGGGGCTACAGAAGCCCCTTTACCATTCTAGTGTCGCGCTCATCGTTACCGATATTTAAGATATTCAAGCTTCTTAGTCAGAATCGAGTATTACGTATACCTCATTCGTGTTACGGCACGTTTCATGATTTGGTAGGCAGAAATTCATACGTAATCAGAAATACGTGCGCAACGAAAAATATAAAATTTAATATGATTAAAATATAAGTAAAATATAAAATACCACAGTTCCAAATTTTTCACATAGAAAATTCCACAGTTTCTAATTGTTCACATATTAAATTCAAAAGGTCAAATTTGTTCACATAGATAATTCCCCAGTTCATAATTGAACTGGGGAATTTTATTTTCATATAAATTTCAACAGTTCAAAATTCACCGAAGTCATTTTTCGAAATATTTGTGTTTCGAAAGTTTTAATGTACGTCGTGTTCTGTCAGTTATTTTTGTTTAAACATTAGAGTGTAAAACAGACAAGAAAATATCAGAAGGTAACATTAGATAAAAAGATCTAGTAATTATATTAATTATATTAATTCTAGTAATTATATATAACATCATTTCAGTTATTTTTTTAATTTATATTGCTTCAAGTTATAATTTCGTAAAGTATTAAGAATATTTAGGATATCTTTAGATGAGCTGCAAGTTAATGGTGTTGCGAAACGGTTTAAATGCGAGTAGCGATGTAAAATTGTGTATGTGTATCTTTACTTTGCAAATAAGGTTCCGATATTTATAAAATAATGTTTTGTTGCAGATAATTGTAGACATGATTCCTGTTGTGTAATCTCTTTTGAATTTTGCTAAAATTATTATAATATTATTATGTATTATTATTATTATTATATTTATTAATACATATATTAAAACGAATTACATTAAATTATTAAATTATATATATTTAGTAAATTGTATTGGATTAAATTAAGGTGACTGCAACGAGGGTGTTTGTACTCTCAGATTCCAATAACTAAGGTGTCGTTTTCTAGTTAACGAACGAAATTAACGAACATTTAAAGAGCTCCTAAAAATGTAGCAAAAGTGAATGGTGGCGTCATCGAGTTGCTACACGGGTCGACTAAATGCTGGAGTGAGGATAAGCAAGAGATGACGCATGGGAGCAGACAACTTCCCATCTGAGCACAAACGAGGTATAGGGAGATCGAATACCTCATTCTTGCTGATACCATCTGTGGTTAAATTTCCACAATCTGAAGTACCGATGTCACTGAAAATCAATGGTTTCCGACTTGAATATATTATATCATTAAAATAATGTAAAAATCAAATAGATATAGACATCATCTAGAAACAGGAAATGATCAATGAAATTCGTTCGATATAATAAAAAAATGATATTTTACCTAGAACACTCTAAGCTTTGTTTATGAAAACTTTAAATGATAATATAGTCAAAGTAGTTGTTAATAACATCGTTGACGAAACAAATTGTTGCAATTACAAATCGCATTGAGAGTGCTGAATTGCGCATTTCCCTTACAAAAGGTTACTTCGAATCGATTTTAAAATCAATTCCCGCGACAATTCTTAAATTCTCCCCAATTTTCCATCAGCTTGTAAACAAAAATGAACAATTTGGGGGAAAGATAAAAATAGTTCTTCTCAAACAATATAGAAGCCTCGAGGATATGAGCCTACAACAAGCATCATCGAAAAAGCAGATAAAACCAATATCTCATCGCAGCTGTTCTCAAACAGCATGCAAGAATTCAAACCCCAAAATTACCTCTACCTCGCGACTCAAAAATTGTCAGAAACCCAAAAGCTCCGCAGACATTAACATTCAAACGACCCCGAACAAAAATCTACAAAAAGCTCAGTATCCTTCTCGCACTAATTTTTAAAAATCGGTCAAAAATCCAAGGTTATTTTGTGGTGGATCAATTTTTCCCAAAAACTCTGGAAGTCCCGGAAACGTCAATCTACAACGAGCCGTTTACCGAGGTAAACCGCATAAAACAGCTACCTCGTGACTCAAAAATCGCCGACGAGGAGGCTAGAAGACTCGTGGCGCGTGAAGCAACGACGATCATCGACGAAAAACCGAGGAAACTGATGGCGGTACATAGCAGACACGTGCGGCCAGCTCGAAAATAAAGTTCGGCTCCGTGGAAAGCGTGGAGGGCGCAAACGTGGCGGCTCTCGGTTCGTGCCGTGTCTCCGGCAGCTCTCTTCGTGGTTGCGGCAACGCGAGCACGAGGCAACGACTGCTGACCCATCATATTGATCGACCTGGATCCGCAGTCCTCCCGTATCCGATTGCGCGGCTCGGGCGGCGCTCGGCGGACTGCGCCGCGACGCTCGCCGACGCTCTCCGACGCTAGCGTAGTCGCAATCACTGCACCTGCGAGCAACGCATCGTCGTCCTACCCCGTCGTGGGATCGTCCGTCGCCATGCTGGTGGTGCAGTGATCGAGAGATCCGTCGTAGACAGCGAGCCGCCGACGCAAATTGCATGCGATCCTCGTGAACGAACCTGCTGCATCCGGGGCGGAGACCCGAGAGCCGCTGGTCCCCGCGTCCTCTCGTCCCTCTTCTGCTCCGCAGAACGCACCACGGTGTCCGGAATCTCTTCCCGCTATGAACTGTGTACGTATCGATGGTATTTTCGAGTCCGCACGAAATTCAGCACGGCGCCCGTTTCACGTGCGCCTCGCACAGGCGTCCGCACCGAATCGGCTTTGTCACGCATGGCCCTCGAACAGAGGAAGTGTCGTCTCCCCCCGGCTTTTGTGAAGTTTTCTGTGCACGTTTTCTTCATCGTGGTCGACGGCTCGCCTTCGGATCAATTTCACGCGGCTTCGACTTGCTCCGCGCCTCGCTCCGCGGCCTGTCGCTTTTCACCCCGCGCTTTCGGGCTTCTCGTACTTCGCCTTCGCACTCGCCTTCGCCGGGACGAGGCTGCGTGTGCAATTGTTGCGTACCGCGGAGAGGCCAGCTGACCGTACGTTCGGGATTCGGTCGTTTTGCAACGGGGTGACTGTGCGCGACCGTTGCAACGCGATTGCCACGGCAAGGTGCTCGGAGATCGCAGAGATCGGCCGCGAGGAAAAACGCCGCGAATCGCGATTTCCGAAAATCTGAGCTGTCGAGATCGTCTATAGGCGACGATGTCGTACACGTAAATTCTGTAGACTCGAACGAGCTATGGGAGCTGTGGAATTTGACGCGCTGCTGGTACGAAGCGTTCGGATGCGATCAGAACTTTGAGCGCGGCGATGTCGCGGAAGTGGACGAGAATGTGATCGCGGCTTCTTTCGTTTTAACCACGGATATATGGGGTAGATATATGGGATATTTGGGATATATGGGACGTATGTAACAGATATTTTATCCGTGGAATCGTTTTCTTCGAGATTTTCTTTCAAGAGAGCGCGGGAGCAGCGTCGAGTGCGAGCCCAGCCAGCGTCCGATCATTACGGTATTATCTACCGAATGTTGTCCATCCACTAACGTTTCAACGAACGTCGGCGAGCCGGAGACGCGTTCTTGCATTTCACGTTCGCTTTGGTGTTCATTGATTGCGAGTAATGGCATTACGCGTATTCCCAGTGCCTTGATTTATGGAAGGCGTCGAAGCCCGCGCGAGAGTACGAAACCTACAAATATCCGAGTTTACTATTAATTCGGTGGCTTGAAAATTCTGTTAACACCCTCGGCTGGGACGTAAACAATCGTTTGCGTGTCAACCATTTTCGCGTTCTTTGTTTCGTAAGCACGTTTCCTTAAGTGTACCGCGTTTTCTTCCTTCTTTTTGCAAGAGAAGGAAACCTGTAGATTTCATCTCCGGAAATCGCTTCAACTAAGCGGTTCAGGTTTCAGCCGTTGCTTCGGGCATTGATATTTTCAGGAATCATCGAATGCCACCTGCCTAAATTTTCCAAAGCAACAGGTGCCGCAATTTTGGCCGTCAATGCGTCCGGTGTCAACGAGTACTTTAAATAGGAACGCGTCGTTGTTAACGCTAGATTTGCGGCGCGCGAAGAACAGCGGTTTTATATTTATAAAAGTAAGAACGAGTTTATTTATACTTTGATCTCTAACGAGTGTTATTGGAACACTTGTCGCAAGTAACATAGACCGCCGGCCGAAAGTTTGGAATCGCCGCGAGTTTCGAGGAAAACAGTTTTGAACTGTGAACTCCCTTGTGTGACAGATTCAATTTGCTTGCAATACTCCGCGATGAATAATCTTCTTTTCTGGGTGTGATAATAGCACTTCTAGTTTCGAACACTGATCTGAAGCGATTATGCCAATTTTAAGTGCCGATCTCGGTTGAACGCGTTCGTCAGCGAGAATGATAAAGTATGGCAAACGTGGCTTTTATACCTTTTCGTGGTGTCAGCGTCAACCAATCGGCATCTAGTATTGTAGTACTAGACTCTCATTGGATAAACAAAAGACTCGGGTATATATATAAAGCGAAAATAGATTGCCATTTTTAGTGATAGGGAAGTTCGCCATTAACGTTACTTGAAATTGGGATTATAATGCAATCGCCAGCGAGAATGATAATGTAAGGCAAACGTGGCTTTCATACTTTTTCGCGGTGTCAGCGTCATTTAATCAGGGACTAATACCGTAGTTCTAGACCCTCATTGGATAAACAAAAGAATCGAGTAGCCCTATATATATATAAAGCGAAAATAGATTGTTATTTTTCGTGCTAGGAAAGTCGCCATTAACGTTACTTTAAATTGGGATCATAATGCAATGTTCAGCGAGAGAATGATAATATAAGGTAAACGTGGCTTTCATACCTTTTCGCGGTGTCAGCGTCATTTAATCAGGGACTAATACCGTAGTTCTAGACTCTCATTGGATAAACAAAAGAATCGAGTAGCCCTATATATATATAAAGCGAAAATAGATTGTTATTTTTCGTGCTAGGAAAGTCGCCATTAACGTTACTTTAAATTGGGATCATAATGCAATGTTCAGCGAGAGAATGATAATATAAGGTAAACGTGGCTTTCATACCTTTTCGCGGTGTCAGCGTCATTTAATCAGGGACTAATACCGTAGTTCTAGACCCTCATTGGATAAACAAAAGAATCGGGTAGCTCTATATATATGTATACAAAGCGAAAACAGATTGTCATTTTTCGTCCTAGGAGAATTTTCGCGATTAACGTTACTTTAAATTGGGATCATAATGCAATGTTCAGCGAGAGAATGATAATATAAGGCAAACGTGGCTTTCATACTTTTTCGCGGTGTCAGCATCATTTAATCAGGGACTAATACCGTAGTTCTAGACCCTCATTGGATAAACAAAAGAATCGGGTAGCCCTATATATATATATGTATACAAAGCGAAAACAGATTGTCATTTTTCGTGCTAGGAGAATTTTCGCGATTAACGTTAGTTTAAATTGGGATTATAATGCAATCGTCAGCGAGAGAGAATGATAATGTAAGGCAAACGTGGCTTTCATACTTCTTCGCGGTGTCAGCGTCATTTAATCAGGGACTAATATCATAGTTCTCGACTTTCATTGGATAAGCAAAAGAATCGAGTAGCCCTATATAAAGCGAAATCGGATTGTCATTTTACGTGCTAGGAAAGTTCATGATTAACATTCGTTTAAATTGAGATTATAATCGACACAGTATTATCTTCAATAAAACCATACAATTAAATACCTGAAAATTTTACATTTTACAATTTATACATTCTTGTTAGTGTCTAGTACAGTAAATTCTCCCTAATTGACCCTTAGCTTGTAAAAATGCAAACATTGTCCATTTTTGTTCCCAATTAGGTTTCCAATTAGATTGTTTCCAATTTTTGGTCAATTAGAGAGAATTTACTGCATACTAACAACGCAGAATGTATAAGAATGTTCGATCTTGACAGAAATCAGCAAGCGATTCCAAACTTTTGGCCGATTTGTAAACTATACTGAGTAACTATACTATAACTCGTAAATGTATCTTTGCAATCTGAATAATCGTAAATTAAAAAATTAGTGACCCGTCATTTCGACGAGTTCTGTGAACCTAGCGTTGAGGAAGGAAACTTTATTCTTTACTTCTAAGGTCTGCAATGTTGCTGTTAGTTTCGTACAGCAGATAACAATTCTATGAATTGTCGAAGGATTTAGGATCGATTCCTTTTCGTTTCGCGGTTCGGTTATCGAAAGAAGTTCGCACAGAAGCCTCGCTACGCATTATGCCTTGCTGCACGACACCGTCCAATAGTATTTTCCATTATGCATCTCATACATCAAGGGACTGTGTCATCTCCTCTTATGTAAACATTTGCATGAGAGATGTCGAGCCGTTTTACCGATCGTCGCCCATATTGACCTGTCGATCAATCGCCTCGTGATTCGCTCGTGATTCGCCCGTGATTCCAGGCATTTCGTTAAATTGTGTTCCACGGGAACACAGCTCCGCTCTACGGACTCCCAATGCAAACCAATCCAGTTAATTCTAAGCGAACCGCGATCGTCTTGCATGCGAACAGTCGTTCCTTTTTTATTAAGGCTTCCTTTCTATTCGGATCTCCGATCCAGCAGTTTTCCCGACCAGAACCGACGACCAACTTTCCAGCATTAACAGACGAATCATTTGTTGTTCATAAATTTTTCGAATTTAGTTCAAACACGAATTCGATGCTTACAATGACGCTTTTCATTGTCATTAATTGATGACTAATTTATTGTTCGAAAATTTGTCGAATTTCGAGTTTAGTTCAAACATAAATTTAGTGTTTTCATTGTCATTAATAGATGAATAATTTAGTACCCGTAAATTTTTCGAATTTCAAATTTAATTCAAACATGAATTTAGTGTTTGCAATGCCGCTTCTCATTGTCATTAACAGATGACTGATTTATTGTTCGTAAATTTTTCGAATTTAGTTCAAACACGAATTTAATGTTTACAATGCCGCTTTTCATTGTCATTAATAGACGAATAATTTATTATTATTCATAAATTTTTCGAATTTACCTCGAACACGAATTTAACATTAACAATGCCACTTTTCATTGTCATGCCACCAATTCTCGATTTAATAAATATAATAATAGTTAGAAAAGTACAGTAAATTCTCTCCAATTGTCCCTCAACTTGTAGACAAAAATGGACAATTTTGGAAGAGCAGGCACGATTAATCGAGCCTCGCGGCTCAGTTTTGTAGTCACCGATTGCCAACAACTATAAAAATGGGACGCAAAGATCGAAGAAAGAAGGTCGAAGAGAATTTACTGTACAGCTGCAAAGTATTTGTATTTGCTGCAAAGTATTTGTCTGCAAAGTATTTCAGAAAATATATGTCACAGAAATTGCAGTGGCAAAATGGGGCAAAGAAAAGGTTATTTAATTACGAATGCATAGAAGAACACCAATAGCAGATTATACAGTCGTCGGTGTGTTGTCGCTAGGAATTATTCGAAAGCTTTATAGAACAGTGTTTACGTGTGTGCGCGTGTGTAGGCTGCGTATAGTCACCTAAACACGTGTGCGCGTTCGAAGCTTGCGTTTAAGCTTGGCCTGGATATTAATGCATTCTATTACTGCGTGCTTTGTGACGATTACTGGATACCGGCGAATGGTGTTTATATTCATGAATTTGAAATCTGTTTCGACTGAATCGAACATGTATGTTTTAGCTTCTTCGCGCATACAGGGTGTCCCAAAAGTATCTCGCAAACCGGAAATGAGAAGTTCCTGGAATCATTTGAAGTAACTTTTTCCTCAGCGAAAATGCAACCCGTGGCTTCGTTTACGAATTATTAACGAAAACCGCTGACCAATGAGAGGCCAGGTTATGTCAAGGTTATGAAATATCTCGCAAACCGGAAATAAGAAGTACCTGAAATCATTTGAAGTAACTTTTTCCTCAGCTAAAATGCAACCCGTGGCTTCGTTTACGAATTATTAACGAAAAACACTGACCAATGAGAGGCCAGGTTATGTCAAGGTTATGAAATATCTCGCAAACCGAAAATAAGAAGTACCTGAAATCATTTGAAGTAACTTTTTCCTTAGCGAAAATGCAATCCGTGGCTTCGTTTACGAATTATTAACGAAAAACACTGACCAATGAGAGGCCAGGTTATGTCAAGGTTATGAAATATCTCGCAAACCGGAAATGAGAAGTACCTGGAATCATTTGAAGTAACTTTTTCCTCAGCGAAAATGCAACCCGTGGCTTCGTTTACGAATTATTAACGAAAAACGCTGACGAATGAGAGGCGAGCTCGCCTAGCGCTCGGTGGCCGAGCCAATGAGCGCACGAAGCCCAGTTCCGGTCATCGGCACGGCCGCCTTGCGCCAGCATATCTCACCTCTCATTGGTCACTCTTTTTCGTTAATAACTCGTAAACAAAGCCGTGGATTGCATTTTCGCCAAGGACAAACTTACTTCAAATTACCTCAGGAACCTCGCATTCTCGGATTGCGAGACAGTTTTGGGACACCCTGTATAGATGCTTCGCCTACGTCGCTTAACTGCATGGGGAACAAGAACCGTGCATGGAAGAGGCAATTATGTCGGAAGAATTGTTAAAATTTGTGTAAATTGGGTCATTTATTGTTTACTATCTCTATGGACAATGCTCGATGCCAAGATTATATTACTAATTTACACTTGTAGCGTATTCGAGTTAACGTTGTTAGACTGCATCTGATAAAATACAATTAAGCGACAATTACAATAACGAAGGGACAGCTTTCTTTTTTCTTGTGCGCTCGTCGAGATACAATTAACAACGAGATCTCGGAGCAATTATATCGTTGAATCGCGGGGGCTATTTATGAAGCTTGTATCATGTGGCTGAAACAGAGGTTATCAGCATAATGCACTTTTGTGCAACGTGTCGCGCATCATTATTCACATCGTGCGCAGCTAAGGAGGATGTGCGCTTCCTCTTTTTTTCCGCTGTTGTGGCTAATGTCGCCAGTTTTGTCGAAACGAAATCAATTCAAGGCTTCGACGCGAATCTGAAATCGCCGTTCAACCGTACGTCTTAACCTTCGCGCGGCGAATGCGGGGTCGAAACGAACCCACGTCTATAGATGCGCGAGCATACGTAACACTTGAATCGCATTTATTCTTCGTACGTGAATCAATTTCTCTTTTCAATTCGTTTCGTTCAATTCGTTCAATTTTTCGATACGAAAGTTTCGTGGACAAATCGACGAGGACGATTCCGAGTCTGATCGATGTTAATTTCAATATTAATTGATGCAAACGTGCAAACGCGAGCATGATCGAAACGATACGAAAATGAAGTTATGCGTTCAAATGTCAGAATGTAAACATGCATCCCCTGAGGAAATAGGTACTTTGAGGTCACGGACTCAGATAAGGAAGCTAGAAAACGGGAGTCTTTTATTTCTTTTTTTTTATCGCAATTATCTCTCGGCTTGTAAACAGAAATGGAGAATTTGGGAAGAGGGGATACGGGTATTCGAGTCTCGCTTCTTATAGTCGCCGATTGTGTGACAACGATAACACGAGTCGCGAGGATCGAATAATAATCGTATTATGTTATTATTATATTATATTCATTTCGACTTAAATATTATTATATTATTAATAATCGAATCCCCTCTTCCTAAACTGTCCATTTCAATTTACAAGCTAAGGGACAATTGGAGAGAATTTATTGTAATAGCAAAATTAAGAAAAGCATTTCAGTCGAGCCAAAAATTCGAGTCGTTTAGCCAATTTCGAAAAAAGGTTATTACGTTTCAAAAGGGTGTTCCTTTTTTCCAGGGATAATTTTAATAAGTTTAAGTAAATTCTCCCTAATTTACCTTCAGCTTGTAAATAAAAATGGACAATTTGGGAAGGAGAGATACGATTATTTTTATTGTTATCGATTTTTAATCACCTGCTTTTCATAGCTACCGATTGCAAGGATCGAACAATCGTATCTCCTCTTCTCGAATTGTCTATTTCTGTTTACAAGCTGAAGGAAAACTTGATGATGATTATTTGAGGATGATTGTTGGATAATTATTGGTTAATTGGCACGGGTTCGAGCGATCCCCGCATCCACCGTGCGATCGACTCGACGATCCACCGTTCGAGGGTTAAAACGAATCCGTCAGAGACTTCCGCCGAATCTTTTCGCTTGAAATTCTTCCAGGATCGTCAGCCTCCTCCGTCGAAAACGGTGACGTAAGAACGACGAGAGGTCACGGTGTTATCCTATGCACGGCGTAATCGCAACGTATAACGACAGCGAAAACGGCTCATACCGGAACAGTCGTCGACGTTCGTCGTAGCAGACCGTCGAAGAGACGATCCGGATCGCGACGTGTAGTCCTCAAGAAACGGCGATTATTATTCCTCGGAACGTTCTTCCTGCGAGGGCCAAGAACACCCAACGCTTTCTCGAGAGGTATGCCGATTCGTTCATGTCCATTTTTAACAGCAGCTTGCCGGACTTATTTTTTTCACCGAACGAAAAAGTATATCTTAAAATAATAGCACGTCGACGTTCGAAAATTCGTTCGATCCTCGCAGAGTTTGAAATGTTACTTGCTCGTTTCCCTCACAAATGCATAAAATCCGCGGTCTAGTAATCGTACATTCGAGGAGAATTAATGCAACAAATGTGTTTCTTCTGGAGACAGTAAAAAAAATTGAGCTCAGACTATGATAAAAATCCCTAGAAATCTGAATGAATATGCTTCCGACATTTTTATCGTTTGATATAAATTGCGCTCGTTATTTCGATCGAGTAATATAAATCGCATCGGATCACCGAAGTTTTGATAAACGTTACATGTCGAAGGAGATGAAGGTTTTTTACCATTCGTTTGATAATAATTATTGTGATTATTTCCGAGGTTATTTTATGTTCTATTTCAAGCATCAGTTACTAGTCCACCAACAAATACGTTCGTGTTGTTATTCGCTGATCAGAGAGAGAGAGAGAGAGAGAGAGAGAGAGAGAGAGAGAGAGAGAGAGAGAGAGAAAGAGAGCGCGAGAGAGAGCGAGAGTGAGAGCGAGTGAGCGAGAGAGCGAGAGAACGAGAGAGCGAGAGAATGAGAGAATGAGAGAGCGAGAGAGCGAGAGAGCGAGAGCGAGAGAGAGAGAGAGAGAGAGAGAGAGTTCACCGAGTGCGAAAGGTTAAGTTGTTGATTAAGATTGTATGGATTCTGACGTTCGGTAACTGCTTGTGTGATATCGAAGCGGAGCCGTGATTGCAAATAAGATCTGCCAGATATGCGCGCTATTCAAAATTAATAAGGAATTCTATTCCTCCGTTGCGAATATTTATCAACTACAGTAAATAAAGGCAGAACTGATTTTCTTCGCCTTTTAGGAAACGATTAACGACAAATAAAACCAGCAAAATAAATTTAAAAAAAAACGTCACATTATATAAGATGTTTTAAATAATCATTATTTGTTCATTTCACTAATTTCTAAATATATTCAAAATAATTCTTTACAGATTTTCTCGTATCCCTTTTTTTACATATTATTTTTTACATACTACATAATATTGAAAAATATAAAAGCATCGTCTCAAATTTTGTGAACTATTCTTAATGAATTCGGAAATCGAGCGCATTTCGCTCCAAATGATCAAAACTCTCTCAAATGTGGATTTTATAGTACTTCATTGTTTATAAAAGATTTGACTATTAACACTTCCACGACCGCGCTAGAAACCTCGAAAATTTTCATAAAATTAAAATATTTCATTAGATTAAACAAAAATTATGAAGCAAACTTATATGGCATCGATTACTTCTTCAGCATTCGAACCTCTTGCAAATCTTAATAAAATTGAGCAATCATTTTTAATGTTTCATTAATCATCCATTCGGTCGTCAACCGACTGAATTTAAAACGGGAAGATCTTCCCGTTCGGTTGGCTAAGTGTTAAAATACAGCACTTGCGAATGTCGCAGGATACTTGAAATTCCGTTGAAAAATACTCGTTAACGGAGAGAAAATAACTCGGACCCCTTTAGCGTCTTCATTTATGTACTCGATACTCTGAGTGCACTTGCAACGAAAACTGAAGGAACTACTTAACCCGGGAACCCTTCGCCTCGCGTTGCATATTTCAAGATAAGAATGGAGCAACGTATTTCACCCGTTGTTTCACGCGATAATGCTCTATCCGCGAAACAAATACCGATTCGGGAGACACGCGTATTTCGATCTAGTTTCAACGCTATTCAATCGCGAGATCGTCTCATTTAAGTAAGCGCTGCTTGTCGCTTCACAATATTTGCATCGTGAAACGAATCGATCGCGACAGAATCCAGGGAGATCTAAGAAGGAACCGTCTTCAGAGAGAATCGAATACGAAACCCTGTCGCGGAATGCGAATGAGAATCCGCTTTGCTCTTCAAGTTCTTGAATCGAACGCGATTATTAACCTAATAGTCACCTAATATTAACCTAATATTATCTGAATGTTATCGATGTGAAAATTTCCATAGAAATGCGTGAACATTTCCGTCGTCTTAATTTGACGCCTTTGATCGCTTTCATACCGATAGGATTTTTATACTTAAACGCTTCGACTGCAGCGTCAGCCACGCGGCGATGATTTGAAAATTAATTTTTACGCTGATGTACGCTCTTCGCGATCTTTATGCAATACAAAACTACAGTAATGTCTCTCTAATTGACGCACAGATAGTGCACAAAAATGGAGAATTTGGGAAGAGGAGATACGATTATCCGAGCCTCGCGGCTCGTTTTTAGAGTTACGAATTGTCATCGATTATAAAAACGAGCCGCAACGAGCTCGAATAATCGTATCTCCTCTCCCCAAATTGTCCATTTTCGTGCACAATCTGAGCGTCAGTTAGGGAGACATTACTGTACATCCGGTACAAGTAACAAGAGCAACGTTCAGACCAATAAAAATAATATATTAATTATTAATAATATATTATTCTTCCAATGCTTCGATTGTCTTCGGTGTTTCAAATTGCAACTAGTCTTTCTCGTCACAAATGCATAAAATCCGACGTGTTACCTCGTTTCCTAATTTTATTGGGACGAATATCGGCAGATTAGTCCACGTCAAACAACTGGTCGGTTCAATTTTAATTTAACTGAATAAAGTACTATAACTCCTTGCATTATGAACGTTATTCCCATTATTTAAATCGAAACAAAATTCGATCATTCTGTCAGCGAAGTCTAGGAACGAAAGTAGACGAAGAAGTACGAGAAACAAAAATTGCCTCGATCTACAGTAATGTCTCTCTAATTGACGCCCAGATTGACCACAAAAATGGACAATTTTGGAACATGAGATACGATTGTTCGAGCCTTGCGGTTCATTTTTATACATATAAATTGTCCACAATTATAAAAACAAGCCGCAAGTCTCGAATAATCGTATCTCTTCTTCCCAAATTGTTCACATTTTAGTGGACAATCCGAGCGTCAGTAAGGGAGACATTACCGTACAGTAATGTCTCTCTAATTGACGCCCACATTGACCATAAAAATGGATATTTGGGGACAGGAGATACGATTATTCGAGCCTTGCGGTTTATTGTTATAGTTATAAATTGTCCACAGTTATAAAAACGAGCCGCAAGGCTCGAATAATCGTATCTCCTCTCCCCAAATTATCCATTTTAGTGGACAATTTGAGGACAGGAGGTACGATTATTCGAGCCTTGCGGTTTATTTTTATACATATAAATCGTCCACAATTATAAAAACGAGCCGCAAGGCTCGAATAATCGTATTTCCTCTTCCCAAATTATCTATTTTAGTGGACAATCCGAGCGTCAGTAAGGGAGACATTACTATACTAAGGAAATTATTAAGAGCAAAGAAGTAGCAATTAACGCAGTCGCGAACGAAATCGTAGCGCGAAGGGTTAATCGTACGAAATTTTGCGAGGCATTCATCGTGGCGGCGAAAGTGTTCGAGCAGTATAAATATAGGTGTAAGGTTAAACGATTGGCTTAGTATCGCTTTCACCCTCGAGTGCGGTACTCCGATTTGACAGAACGCCTCGCTTGCCAGATCGATGTACAACGAAACGAAAGACGTTTTACTTGATGTGACTACCCTTTTGCAACTGCACTGTATCATAGCGAGACCTCTGTATAACTCAAATTTCGAAGGTCACGCTCATTTAGCTTCTACAGTAATGCCTCTCTAATTGACGCTCAGATTGTCCACAAAAATGGACAATTTGGGAAGAGGAGATACGATTGTTCGAGCCTTGTGGCTCGTTTTTTATGGTTATCGATTGTCAACAACTATACAAACGAGCTGCAAGGCTCGAATAATCGTATCTCCTGTTCTCAAATTGTCTATATTTGTAGACAATACGAACGTCAATTAGGGAGATATTACTGTATTTCGAGCAGAACTTTGCCTAAAAACGGGCCTCGCGCGCGTCTTCTAAATCAATACAAGAACATTGCGAAGGAATGAGTCACGACGCAGGTGTAATGCTTCCTATCGATCCGCAGGACTTACGTATTCTTTGCCGCAAAGTTACAGAACTTTTTCGACACGTTTCATTTCACCGTTGGCAATTTTAACGAGGCGGCGGTACAAGCTCTCCGTGCGGCCACATCCGGAAGTTTCGGCATTAAAGGCTGCGTTATCGTCTCGCGGAATCTTTCGAAACTCATCTTCTTTTTTACAAGAGAACGTCCGCGCATGGTAGTTTGATCGGGATCAAAAATTTTATGGCAGAACACTGGACAGTTTGAAGCTGCGATCGACGTAGCTCTGTACAGTAATGTCTCCCTAATTGACACTCAGACTGTCCACAAAAATTTCGGAAGACAATTTGGGAAGAGGAGCCTTGCGACTCGTTTTTATAGCTACCGATTGTCAACGATTATAAAAACATGATGCAAAGTCGGAATGATCGTATCTCCTGTCCCCAAATTGTCCATTTTTCTGCACAATCTAAGCGTCAATTTGGGAGACATTACTGTACAGTAATGTCTCTCTAATTTACGCCCAGATTGACCACAAAAATGGACTATTTGGGGACAGGAGATACGATTATTCGAGTCTTGCGGTTTATTTTTATAGTTAAAAATTGTACATAATTATAAAAACGAGCCGGAAGGCTCGAATAATAGTGGACAATCTGAGCGTCAGTAAGGGAGACATTACTGTACAGTAATGTCTCTCTAATTGACGCCCAGATTGACCACAAAAATAGACAATTTGGAGACAGGACATTACTGTATAGTAATGTCTCTCTAATTGACGCCCAGATTGCGCACAAAAATGGACAATTTGGGAAGAGGAGATACGATTATTCAAGCCTTACGATTTATTCTTATAGTTATAAATTGTCTACAATTATAAAAACGAGCCGCAAGGCTGGAATAATCGTATCTCCTCTTCCCAAATTGTCCATTTTTGTGGACAATCTGAGCGTCAGTAAGGGAGACATTACTGTAATTCGCGAGAACCTAGATTCAAGGTTGCAAGCGCGACGTTGATACATCGTGTTAGAGCAATATCGTCGTGTGGTAGCATGCGGCAATTTTGTTGGCTCACAATCAGCTGTTTGCCGCAGTATCGCCAGTCGAAAATTCGCGCGTAGATGCCGCTGTTAATTCGATTGTTCGCGCGAGTCACGGCGAAACGCTTGGATTATCTTGAAATTAGCTCCGAACTACATAGTTGATTCGGGTAATTGATACATATTAACGTCGCGCGAACTATCCGCGTCGAGAGAGGCCGTCTTCGGTTCGCGTGCTCGGATTATTTATAATAACGCTCTTGGATTATTGAATCGGCCCTGCGCCCAAGCGCCTTCGGCGACGCCAGGAATCGCAAACGGTTCGCAATCTCGAGTGATCAAACGTTAAATACCGTTCAAAATTCTCTGCATACTTAACGACAGATGTACGGAGCACTGGAAGAAGCTATTACGTCGTTTCGTTCCTTCTCGAGAGAATGAAGAACGATTTTTGGACGCTTAAAGTAATCAAAATCTTGAAATTCTATGCTCGTCGATGTTCCGTTTTTTATTCGCAAAATATTCGGTCAACTGCTCTTTCAACAGCTTCGCAGAAATATTGTTGAAAGTAACGAGCTTACGTTTACTCAGATTTTCAGCGACTTTTATTAAAGCATGCGTGCAATGAAGTCGATGCTCAGTGAAACAAATGTTAAAAAGAAGATTATTTCCAATCGAAAATAATCAAAATCTTGAAATTCCATGCTCGTCGATCTTCTGTTTTTTATTCGCAAAATATTTGATCTCTCTCTCTCTCTCTCTCTCTCTTTCTCTCTCTCTCTCAACTACTCTTTCAACAACTTCGCAGAAATTTTGTTGAAAGCAACGAGCTTACGTTTACTCAGATTTATAGCGATTTTAAAAAGAAGACAGTTTCCAATCGAAAATAATCAAAATCTTGAAATTCTATGCTCCTCGATGTTCCGTTCTTTATTCGCAAAATATTCGGTCAACCAAAGTTACAGTGAACCAAATGTTACAATAAAGACAATATCCAATCGAAAATGCTTTCGATTCGTCGGAAATTCGCGCAGTCGAACAGGTTCGTCGGCGAGCCGGTATCCGGCAGAGATTCGACTGGAATATTGATTTTCTCGAACAAGCGAGTCTATTTCAGCTTTAGCGCGCCTTTGTCCCCCCGATTAGATTAGCCGTTGCATAATTAGAACCGACAGGTGGTTCCTGGAGACCAGCCGATGACGTATGACGGCCCCCGGATCAGAGATTTTAATAGCGCGCGCGGCGTGGCCGCGCGCGCCGCGATACACGTTTTTTTTCCTCACGTAACACCGTCGACTGGAAACCGTATTTTTCCTTCTCGTTGCAGTTGATCGAGCGAGAAACGAATGCGACCGCGCGAGTCGCGTACGGCGACGGTCGTTGCATCGAGGGTGAATCCGTCGCACGCCATGAGGCTGGACAACAAGTGAGAAGAAATCGGCCAGGGAAATAAAGAACATGGGGACGCGTTGCTTTGTAGTGGGTGAGTTTCGAACGCGACCACGCTACCCTACGGTACAGTGATTTTTTACGAAGAAATAATTCTCGGCTGAACTTTACCATTCGTTCTTTATCTGTGGTATTTTTTGAAGGAGCTCCCCCCTCAAACACGTTGAACCTACATACGGGCACAACCATAGTTACAACTTATGCACGGGCTTAAGCGGAGATACATACATTGTGTTCTAGCCATTGTTATCTACGATCTAGATTTCGGATTATGTTCATGAAACATGCAAGTGTCTGAGATAATGAAACGAAAGAAACGTAGCGATTAGAAACCGTTCGCTTTCCCTTTTGTTCCTTTTTTTCTATTTTTTTTTCTCCTTTTTACTTTTTAAATAGCTTCTAGGAGTCGGAGTTTATCGCGAACGTCGATCGTTCTCGACTCCACGGATTTAATCGTTCTATTTTGTCTGTTCAACGGTGCAGTTTGTTTGTACGCCGGGGCATCGATTTATCGCAGCGTGAAATTTGTACGCGTGCCCGCGATGCATGCGATTTATATATCCGAAAGTAATGACGTGTGTAAAATAGTTGTGCGTCCCGTCGCACGTTGAATTCTGTGATGGAAACATCACCAAAAAGACGATGCCGATTGTGTCTTCGTTTAATTCGTGACGTACGCAGCAGCAATAGTGGTAGGCTATAATGTATATTAATTCGTAAATGTGCCAGAGAACATTCGGGGAGTCATGCTGTTCTTTCATTGAATTATGATAAATGTTTCAAGTATTTTGGCCCCGTCGTTAGTATTGCACTTGCACACTATGGACGACATTTGTAATACCGTCGCGTTTATTTCGATCTATTAATATTAGTAGAAGACAAGATATATATATATATATATTTTTAATCAATGTCTGCTTGTCAAAATTCATCTAATTTTTAACGAAATCGTTCAGAGCGACGCGATCTCTGTTAGTACAATATTAACCCTTTGCAATCGAGTGGCGACTCTGTGGCGTCATTAAAAATTGCTGTACTATTTTTCAAAATCATTATAAACGCATCAAACTCGTTTATATTTATAAAAAAGTTGTTAAAATTGCATTGTACTTGCCAGTAGGCTCAATTTCATGCGCATAAATCGCAATAAATTATATAAAATAGAAACACTGAAGATCAGAAATCATGTTTTGCATTTCGAATTTAAATAGCTTCCACTGCAAAGGGTTAAGTAACACCTAATTATTTTTCAAGCGATAATTTCGTTTCGGATTACCGTTTGCATAATAAAGAATCAGACTGTTTTAACGTTCTGTACTGAAATATCGACAACAATTTTTATTGCATAATTCTTCGGACAAATCGATGAAATCGTGTATTTTCGTCCATGGTGGTGCGTCAGTCGTTAAGTTCCCGGGGTTTCGAAGTTCGTTGAACCAAACAAGGGAAAGAATCACCTCCGTTTTGTGTCGCCTTCCGCTTTCACCCTTCGAGTCAGCTAGAATCCGCTTCCCCTTTGAAATAACAATCGAAGCGTTATTTGGAATAAGGTCGTATCGTCAAAGTAATCGAACTTCGTTTTTCAACGCTAAAACGGAACCGAAAGAGACGATTAAGTCTCCCTAATTGATGTTCAGAGTTTGCACAAAAATGGACAATTTGGGAAGAGGAGATACGATTATTCGAGTCTTGCGGTTAGCTTTTATAGTTATCGACTGTCAACAATTATAAAGACGAGCTACGAGAATAATCGTATCTTTTCTTTCCAAATTGTCCATTTTTGTGCACAATTTGGGCGTCAATTAGGGAGACATTATTGTACATTCAATTTCGGTGAAGACAATATCAACACGATCTCGTACGTCCTTTTTCCAGATATCGGGTTTCCTCGTTGCGTTGCAACATTGATACTCGTTGCACGGGTGCGATATCGTATTAAAAGATACAGATTCCATTTGTAGCTTGATTCGATGCTTTGATACGCTAGACACCCGTAATGGAAGAAATATTGAAATCCAATTTTCAACCAGTTCCGGTAATGTTCAGAGAACCCCCCTCTTTTTATTTAGAAACGACGACAAGCTTTCGATGTCTTTCAGTGAATTTTCGTGTTCGTTAACGTACGCGCCAGAAGCAGATTCGAATGTAGCTTCTGCAGACGACGCTCCTTCTGTTTGTGTTTCATGCGAAAAATATTCATTGCACACGAACTTCAATGCACGCTTATTTCAAAGTACAGTGGACTCCCGTACAACGCGGGGGATACGTTACCGCGTAATCGAAAATCGCGTTATACAGGGCATACAGTGGCCCACAAAAGTGTTCGTACACTATTTAAAACGCAATAACTTTTTTGAAACTGGACTAAATGAATTGAATTTTCTTTTTTAGATGATAGAGGGATTAGTATAATAGACAATGACCAAAATGTCTTTTTTAAATTTGTCTATTATTTGCTATTATTTATCTCTATTATTATAGAAAATAAAATAAAAAACTCTCGTTTTTTAACTTTTTTATCTGAGCTTGTAACAAAAATTAAGAAAAATGCCTCTCGGTAACTTACGAGTAAGTTACCTGCAGACTTCTTACAGTTTAAAAAAAAACTGCAGACTTCATACAGTTTTTCAACAAAACTGTAACAAAATTGCGATTTTTGCCATCTTTAATTTGTTGTAACTCGTGACAAGGTCAATCGATCTCGATAAAATTTTCCGTCTGCATATAAGTTACCGAAATCTACGAGAGACGTGTGTCAAATTTTAAGTTTCAGAAAAGTTAAAAAACGAGAGTTTTATATTTCTTTTTTTGTCATTACAAATGATAGCAAAATTAAAAAAAAAAAATTTAGTACACTAGTCTCTCCATCATCTAAAAAAAACTCAAGTCACTTAGTCCAGTTTTAAAAAAGTTATTATGTTTTAAGAGGTATACGAACACTTTTGTGGGCCACTGTACATTATCAGACCAATTTATGTAACTTCAAGCACGCCCAGCCTTGCTTGTCTTCGGTGTTGCCTGAATTGAAATCTTTCGTTCACGTTTGAATCCACATAATATTGCTTATAGCTACGATATTAAGCTATTAATTGTAGCTACAATTAATTAATTGCAACAAAGATGTCGACGAAATCGAATTAATTGAATCAGCAAATTGTTCTCATTCTAGTAATGAGAAGGAAAACTTAGTCCAGGCTTTGAACGCGCCGAAGCAACCTCCGAGTTTAGAATGTATAAACAAATGTAATTACAAAAATCGCCAAACCATTAGAAACACATTTTATGAAAATTGATTCGTCGATAGAGCGGTTTACAAAATTTACAAGAAAATCGAGCGATCGTCTATTCCCATATTTTCGATCTAAAAATGATCTGAAGAAAGAACTGTTTTTAATTAACGATAACAATCAAGGCAAATTATTCAAGCGATGAATCTGTACAACCAATATTAACAAGACGGTGTCATTAGCACTTATTTGTTGATACTTCCGTTAGTGAATAAATGTTAAATACTGAAATGCATACTTTTATTTTTATTAAAAGTTGAATCAAATTATTTTTCTCTTATTAGAAAAAATTTTCTCTTATTTATTTTTCTCTTATCTGTGTATGTATTACTAATTTTTTTATAAACCGCTACCTCGTCAGTATCAAAAATCAAAAACGATGTGAAAACGTTAAAACTATCTCGCGCCTTATACGGGACTGTTTACCGCGCTGTATGAGTACTGGTCGCAATTTTGTCATCGCGTTATACGAATTCGCGTTTTTATACGGGAGTCCACTGTATTACAATTGAGTCTCTGTGATCAAGGAAATGTTAAATAAAAGAAAACGAGCGTTCCACGAGAAACGCACTTCTGCCGTCCAAGTTTCCTCTGCGCTCAAAAGTGCATCGTTGCAGTGCAACACAAGCAATAGAAACGCGCGCGAATCAACGACTGTACGCCATAAGCATCGCGACGATCGGAAAAATTGGAAATCTCGAGGGACGCTCCGAAGCCAAAAAAGAGTTCCTGAATTGAGCCCGACTAGTTTGATATGAATGGAACGTGCTTTATTTAATTGTCTTGAAGGCGATCGAGCGCGCGCCGCACCGGGTGAGTGTGCAGCCGAGGAAAATGAAAAAGGGAGACGAAATTGTAGCGACACAGGTTCAGTTTGTAATTAGCATTGATAAGGGTAGGCACGCGCAACGTGTCGTTGGCGATAAGAATATCTCGTTCCTCGATTTCCTTCCACTTAACGGAGCGCGCGTCGGTCCACGGTCTTCCGATAATCTGCTATTGAACGCTGCGTGTGAACCAACATGGCTGCCGGAAATCATGTTTGTCGCATTAACGCACTTACGTCGCCTATACCGTTATACGTTCCGTTGTATCATTCAGAATGTCTCGAAAAGAATCTGATTTGATCTTGATTTTNATAATATAATACATAATATAATTATAATATAATATATAATATAATTATAATACAGTATACAATATAATTATAATATAATATATAATATAATTATAATATAGTATACAATATAATTATAATATAATACATAATATAATTATAATATAATATATAATATAATTATAATACAGTATACAATATAATTATAATATAATA